CCCCAAAACCCCAAAACCCCAAAACCCCTTACGCAAAGAAGTCAGTTGAAATAGTTAAAATAATGGGTTAACAAATTGAGTACTTTTCACTACATTTGCAAGGAAAATTAGTCCCTGAATGGGACCATGAAGGACTTTCAAGGGTTCTAGTAGACTCCTCTACTGACCTTTGGCTTACTCGAGCTCTTGGATTTCCGTAATCGCTGCTTTTGGATAACTGACTGCGAGTTATCAGAGGATTTTATTGATGAAACTGATCAATTTCGAGCTGGATTATCAAGAGGCTTGTATATTTGTGAAGAAAATCCTTCTATTGTAGGTATTTCTTTTTCTTTGGGAGTTTCGTCTGATAACCGGGCAATTTTAATGTCAGGGACTTGTAAACGGATCTCGTTTGTTGCTAAAATGAGTTTAGAGTTAAATTTACTATCTACTGAGTTTTTACGGATGTTCAAAATGCTTTGTGGAGGTTGGAGTTGGATCCTTTTTATTTTACTTTTAGATAAAATTTTAATTTTCTTCTTAGGAATTTTCTTTGGCTTAGAATGCTGAGTAGAAGAAGATCTCGATTTTTCACTGGGTGATTCTTTCAAATTAAACTTTTGTAGAGCAGGGTTCGGTGAAAATGTGCTCTTCTCCCTTTTTTGAGGCCTATTAGGTTTGGGAGGCTTCCTATCACTATAACAATTCTTCGAAGAGTTGACTGTATCATCTTTTAAACTTCCACTTTCATTCTTACTTTCCTCCTTTTCTAATTTCGCATGTTCTTTCTGTTTCTCTTTGGCTTTCTGAAGAGCTTCTATTCGTTCAATCATTTTCTGAGTTTTAGGATCAATCTCTTCTTCTCTTGGCGTATTGTTTTTGTTACCTAAGGATTACTCATAAAAGATTTACCTGAAATACTGCCGTTTGAGCTATTTTTAAGTTCAATGAGCTCCTTTTTCTTCTGCTTAGCTAGCCGCTTCTCATTCTTCTTCTGCTCAAGGATCTGCTTCCTGATCTCTTTGAAGGAGTTTTGAGGTTTCTTTTCAATTCTCTGTTTCTCTAGGCCTTCGTTATCCTTCTCAACAGGAGTATGTTGTCTCTTCGGAGTATTTTGATAAGGATCATCATTGTACTTCTCCTTCCTATCAGACTTTGGAGTTGAACTTATAGTTGAAAGATGAAATTTCTCATCTTTCTTCTCTTCTCTGCTGTCCATCCTCTTTTCAGTCTTAAGGTAGGAATACATCCTGTTCATTATTTTGAATAATTTTTTGTTTTGGAGTTCAAGACTTTTCTTTGTGTAGATTTCTTGATCCTCATCTTCCTCTTCTTGCAGTAGATCAGGCGAGATATTTTTCTCCCTGTTTAACATTAATTCAGCTATTTTCTCACGGTTTTTCTTGAAACTGTTATAAGAGCCTCGGTCATAAAGTTCTTCAGAGGATTCAACAGGCCTGTCTTGATTTTGGTCTTCGTCCATATCTTGGTGAAGCTTGTTTTCTGAGTTTAGGTTAGAATTTTTAGGAAGTTTTCGCTTTGATTGTCGCTTATTAAAATATGCTGTATTATCACGGTAATCTTCTTGTAATGTCTTGTCATATCCTTCGCCATTTAAGTCATGTTTTGGTGATGAATGCATTTTAAGTCTTGCTTGACGCTTTTTATCGGCAATTTCTTGGAAATCAACCTCTTCGATCTCACTGGCATCTCTGATTTCCCTATCAGTATCACCATCTTTTAGCTCATGAAATTTAACCTATAGCTGTGAATTAGGAGGGATTTACTTGCGTTACCTTTTTATTATTATTAGATTCCTGTTTGCCCAGCTTAGACAGATTATGCATTGATTCTTTCTTGTTTCTCCGAGAGCTATTCTGGCTGGGTAAGGCCTTCTGCTCTTCGGAGTAAAAGCTCCCTTCTCTCTCATTAGCTTGTGAGTCCACATCTACTTGTGTATATTTCTTCCCACGTCCGCTCTCAAGGTCAGGCAGTTGGTCATTTTTCTGAGATTTATTTACGCTGGATGTAACTTTCAAGATCTCTTTGAAGATAATCCTTCGAATTTTCAGATTTTTTCCTCCTGAAGAGGCCTTTAAACCAATTCCTACAGCTAGGACTCGCTTTGTAGACCAGAAGGATTATAAAAACGATCATTATTACTGCGAATATAAGGAGGATAAATATTATTGTATTTATTGGTTTAGAAAACCAAGATTCTGAACTTAGCCCTCTCTTGTCTAATATTTTACAAGCAGAATTTGGAATCAAAAATAATGTTAGTAAAATTCAGGGAGCGGGCTGAATTTTTGTTATTTTTACTTCCATTATAAATAAATTCAATAATTTTAAGAACTAATGGGGTTTTGGGGTTTTGGGGTTTTGGGGTTTTGGGG